ATTTATATAAATATATTTTTATATTTCACTATTATATTAATTTTGTAATAAATTTTATAAAATTTGCATAATTTTGTAAAAAAATTTTTTGAAAATAACAAAATATATTAAATTATATTTTGATATTTATAAAATATATTTATTTTAATATAATATATAGTTTCTAAATAAAAAGAAAAAAGATAAAAAATATATGAAAAAAATGTATGCATTTGTGCATAAATTTTATTACGAATAGTAATCTTTCTCAAAATTACTCTAAAAATAAGTGTACAATATTATAATTATTCTAGTGTATAAATTTTAAATTAACCGCTATATTAACAGATCATATTACAAAACATTGGATTGTACAAAAAAGATTTTTTCATAAAAAAATAAAACATTTCGTAGTTTTTAAAAACGTAATAGTTTCTAAAAACAAGAAAAAATTTTTTGTCTTTGTACATAATGATTAACATTAATCTTAAATTTTCGATGAATGGGCCGATTATAATCATATAATTATAAGTATATTATGTATTATATTAATATATTATGAGTGAAAATTATAAATGAAAATGAAAATATGATGATAATGCTATTTTTTCTTGTTTTTCACAGTGTTGAAAGGTAATCCTCCTCCAATGCATTCTCGACCAGCATTTAATGATGATCCAATCGATACGAAAGAAGATAATGATGGTAAATAAACTTTTATATATTTTTTTCTTCATAAAAGCAATTATTAATATCTTTTTAAAATTTAAAATCAAAAATACAATTTCTTTTAAATTTTTAAATTAGTATATATTTTGATATAGTTTTTCAAAATTTAGAAAATCATAATTAAAAAATAAAATTATATAATTCATTAAATTTCATAACAATTCCAATATAAAAAATATATAATAAAAAAAATTAAATAATTTGTTAATCATTTTTATTATTTTTTATTCTTTTTAATTATTGTAAAACTTCTATATATTAAGAAATAAATAAAATGCCAATGTGAAAGAAATATAAAAAAATATAATATAAAAGATATGTAAAATATAAAAATGAAATTTACAGCAAATGACTGTTTAACGGATAGACGATCTGTATTAGAAGATGAGAGGCAACATTCTCAGGAGAAATTTTATGTACCTGCATGTACACCTGATGGAAGATACCACAGAGTGCAATGTTATTCAGGTTATTGTTGGTGTGTATATCAAGATACTGGCAAACCAATACCTGGAACATCTTCCAAAAACCATACTCCAAATTGTAATCCAGTACCTACTCCTAGTAGGCCTATGAAAGGTAATTAATCATATTTTAATGTATATAGTGTATATTTGTATAATATATATTTTGTCTTATTATATATTTATTTGAACAAAAATTTATTAATTTATAAATTGTAATTTATAAATATAGGTTGTCCTGAACAAAAAAAACAATTGTTTTTACGTGATTTAATGGACTTGATGCATAAAAAGATGAAAGCTTCTGGCACTGATTCAGATGAAACAACAGCTAAATGGCAAGCTTCTAAAGAGGAACAAATAGCAACTTGGCATTTTGTCATGCTTGATAAAAATAAAAATAAAGTAAGAATAATAAATATTTTCTAATAAATTTATATATTATATAAATAAATATATTATATAAAAATCATAAAAATCAATTTGACAAAAAAGATATTTAAATAAAATGTTAATATTGATATGTATTTATACTTTTCTTTCAGGTTTTAGAAAGAAAAGAATGGAAAAGTTTTCGCATAATGGTAGCGAATAATAGACAACTTCAAAGATGTGGTAAAAGACTTCCAAGATATTGTGATATTAATAATGATAGAAAAATTAGCATGACGGAATGGTTCAGTTGTCTGAATGCTCAACGTACTACAACATGTAATTATTTTTAATATATTATATTTTTAATATAAATATGCAAATTTTTAAAATTTTGTATAATATTTTTTTTTCATCAATTATAAATATTGTATTCAAATCTGTTATTATACATATTAAATATATTAAAATATTATAGCTGAAAGTACAGAAAAAGTATCAACGAATAAACCGAAGAGAATGGGCCCGAATCCTCTGGATCAGTTTCTTAAAAATGATGATGATTAAAAGTATATATGATAAAAATATATGTTTGGTATTTTATTGATATGTATAGTAATCGTTCATCACATATGAATGAATATTTCATAGTGCAATGATGAAATTTTCAAAAAAGCTAGTTGTCATGTTAAAAGAAATTTATTTGTATTTTTATATTTAATGATAAATATCACATTATTTTATTTTTAATATAGATTATATTTCTGTACTTTTTAAAAAGATAATAATTGAATGTAATAATGATATTATATGTATATGTATATAGATATATACAAGATATTACTGAAATGATAATGTAAGTTAAAAAAAAAATAAATCTATACAAAAAGATAAATCGAAAATATATAATAATATTTTTTTATACAAAGGTATATTTATATAAAAAATAATTTATTTTTAAATAAATCAATGTTGAAAATTTGTTAAATATATATATATTTAATATATATATTTAAGATTAACTTACAATTAATTTTATATACATGAATTTTATTAATATCATGGATTCTTCAATATTGATTTATTCGAAAGTGAAGTTCCGTATAAAACAATTTCTTATTTTCGATTTATTTTTTCATATAGATTCATCTTGTTTTGATTTATATATATGTTATATTATATTTACTTCGATAATACTCCACATCTATATTATATATATATATATTTA